GTAGAGACGGGGTTTCACCGTGTTGACCAGGATGGTCTCGATCTCTTGACCTCGTGATCCCACCCGCCTCGGCCTCCCAAAGTGCTGGGATTACAGGCGTGAGCCACCGCGCCCGGCCTCTATTACACGATTTTTCAAATTTTCTCTAAGATATGGCACTTATAAAATCAGAACAGACAAAATGATATCAGGTAAAACAAACAACTGAGAGCAATTTGGGAAAAATCCTCAGGGCACAAAATGTATTGCTGTTAATAATGGGCTTGCAATTCTGGGCTGTGGGTATACAATACTGTAATTTCAGGTTATGTATGTTTGAATCTTAGGTCAATGAGCCAGAAATAAACATTCTGGAATTCCAGATCCCCTAGCGGATATCATGAGTATGGTGTGGGGGCTGAGTTTCACCTCTGACTCAGACCCTGTGGGTGACAACAGGGTACCATTTGGCCTGAGGAGCCACTACAGGAGAACTGAGAAGCTGGGCGCTTGTCTTGTTGATGGCTGTTGGCAGACATCACTTTTTGTTTTTTCACTTTAGAGTGTGCAACCTACTTCCTGGTGACCAACCACCAAAGCGAAGGTGGAGGAAACCTTTGGCTCTCCTCCCACTTCCGGAGTCATGTGGGGAGCATTTCCAGGCACAGGGACGCTCGCTGAGAGCACATTCCTAGAGGAAAACACGGTTTCTATAACAGTGCTTCTCGGTGTGTCCTCAGGGAAAAGACAGCGTAAGTGGCAAGAAGTACGTGGGGGAGCTAAAAATAGAAATGGAGTGTGTGGCCCAAAAATGGGTGAAGAAAAGAGTGAAAATCAGGACCAAAGGAAGTGAGAGGGTGTGTCCTGCTAGTGCATGGATCTGGATCTCATTTAAAACATTCATCTGTTCCTGAGTCAGAGTTTAAAATTATAATGTTACAGAGCCATACTTGGTCCCTTCAAAAAATGGGAATACACTGTTAATGACAGAATATAAAAGACAACTTTTAGAGCTTGTGCTGACTAACCCCAGTAGGACTGCAAGATAATATATACGACACCTAGTTAAACTTGAATTTCAAAAAAACAAGTAACTTTTCAGTATAGGTATGTTACAAGATTACTCGTGTAGTTTAACTGGCTGTCCTGTATTCTTATTTGCCAAATCTGGAAACCCTACCAGAGATGGAAAAGAGAAAGGATGAATGGAGGCTGAGCTAGCCAAGGGGGACAAGAACAGAATCACCATGTCTTGTACCACAGAATCCAAGACGGGCAAGAAAGGCCTGGAATTGGGCTGTCTCAGGATGATTTTTCGTGTATATCATGAATACCCAAAACCATGGAAGAAAGAGAGGAAGTAAAGCTTGTGTGTGATCACCTTCCACCATCAGAGGTGAGCTGGTGTTTTAGACTTTTCAACCATCCTACCCACCTCATGTCATCTGAGACCTGCCGTCTCAAGGTGGAGTGGTACTCTTCCTGAGAGCCTCCCTGAAGCTAACCATCTTCATGTTTCACGTCTTCTTAGGCTCTACCAACAACTCAGCAATTTAGTAACAGTTTTAAAAAGGGCTGGCCCATGCTTTAGTTATGTCCATGTATATAAAGGTCTACCTCAGCCTGGCTGACATGATGAAACCACATCTCTACTAAAAATACAAAAATTAGCCAGGCTTGGTGACAGGTGCCTGTAAATCTCAGCTACTTGGGGCTGAGGCAGGAGAATCGCTTGAACCCAGGAGGTGGAGGTGGCAGTGAGTCGAGATCGAGCCACTGCACTCCAGCCTGGACAACAAGAGTGAAGCTCCATCATTCATAAATAAATAAATAAGCCTACCTCTAGGGAAAGAGGCCCTGGATATTTCTAACAAGAGAGCCCCAAAATAATATGAAGCAAAAACTGATAAAATGAAAGGGAGGAATAGTTCAAAAATAAGAGTTGAGATATCAATTCCCCACTTTCAGTAACATATGGAAACATAAGACAGAATATCAGCAAGGCAACAGAAGACTGAAGAGTCTAAACCAACTAGACCTAAACAACATGCACAGAACACTCCATCCAACAGCAGATGAAAGTACATTCTTCTCAGGTGCACATAAAACTTTCTCCAGGATAGAACTTAGGTCATAAAACAAGCCTTAATAAATTGAAAAGGATCACAGTCATATGAAGTATTTTCTCCAAACAAAGTAGAATAACATTAGAAATCAGTAAAGGAAGAAAATTTGGGAAATTTGTAATTATGTGAAAATTTAAATATACACTTCTAAATAATCAATAGAAAAAAAAATCAGAAGGAAAATGACAGAATACTTGAGATGAACAACAACAACAACAAACCTTATGGGATGCAGCTAAAGCAATGCTTACAAGGAAATGTATAGTGTAAATGCCTATTTTTTTTAAAAAAAGAACATAATCAATAACCTAACCTCTATCTTATGAAACAAGAAAAAGAGCAAACTAAACCAAAGCAAACAGAAAAAAAGGAAACAAAAATTAAAGCAGAAATGAATAAAATAGAGAGTAGAAAAACAATAGAAAAAATTCACAAAATCAAAAGTTGGTTATTCAAAAAGATCAATAAAATTGACAAACCTTTAGCTACAAAGAAAAATAAAAGAGAAGACAAATTACTAAAACCTGGAATGAAATAGGGAATTTTATTACTAACCTCAAAGAATAAAAAAGGTTATAATAGAAAACTATGTACTATGTTGTATCCCAAGAGATTAGATAACTCAGATGAAATGTTCAAGTTCCTAAAACAGAAACTACTGACTCAAGAAGTAATACAAAATCTGAATAGACTCATACCAAGTAAAAAGATGAAGCTAGTATTGGAAAAACTTTTCACAAAGAGAACAAATTATATTACATATTTAAAGAAGATTTAACATCAATCTTTCACAAACTCTTCCAAGAAAACAAGCAGAAAGAGGAGGAGGAGGAGGAGGAGGAACGGGGAGGAGGAAGGAGGAGAAAGGAGGAGAAGAAAGAGGAGAAGGAGGAGGAAGAAGAAGAATAAGAAGGAGAACAACAACAACTTTCAAACTTGTTCTAGAAGGCCAGTATTACACTAATGCCAAAACCAGAAAAAGCTACCACAGGAAAACTACAGACCAATATCTCTTATGAATACAGACACAATTAGATAGTGGTAATGGCTGCACAACTCTTGAATATACTAAACACTGTTGAATTGTACATTTTAAATAATGAGTGAATATTATGGTATATAAAATACATCTCAGGTGGGTGTGGTGGCTCACACCTGTAATCCCAGCACTTTGGGAGGCTGAGGTGGGCAGATCACTTGAGGTCAGGAGTTCAAGACCAGCCTGCTCAACATAGGGAAACCCCGCCTCTACTAAATATACAAAAATTAGCTGGGTATGCTGGTGAGTAGGAGGCTGAGACAGAAGAATTGCTTGAACCCAGAAGACAGAGGCTGCAGTGAGCCAAGAGCACTCCAGCCAAGGAGTGGAGCCACTGTACTCCAGCCAAGGCAACAGAGTTAGACTGTGTCTCAAATTTAAAAAAAAAAAAAAAGAAAGAAAAGTAAACTATATCTCAAAAAAGGTGCTTTTTTTTGTTGTTGTTTGTTTGTTTGTTTTAAAAAAAGGCCTTTCCTGGTGAGGAATTGTAGATGTAATAAGAATTTCTAACACTTACCGGTGCTTGGGAGGCTTACAAAAAATACTAAGTAAGAATTAAGAAAGGCTGGAGGTGGTTGGTGAGGGTGGAGGCTATTTTGGGGATAATACAGGCTTTTACTCTTCAGGGAAGGCACAGCTGTTAGTTAAGAGTGGGAGGTATTAAGAACAGAGAAATTAATTTGACTACCAAGTAAAAACATCTGGTCGTCAACACAAAATTCTTTGAGCTGAGTTAGCATGACTGGCCTGTGGCAGGTTAACATATTTCTAACTAATGAGACCAGGCATTTAGTAAACCAATTCCTGACCCTACTGTATGATAAAGGCAGAATTAGTTCATATTTTTAGTAGATAATTCCTGTATGTTCGGTTACCTGCTCCCAAATGCGATGTCTCTCCCGAGAGCAGAGCTGATGATTCTGAGTACTGCTTTAGGCATTGGAGCTTCCTGGGCTTCATTCTGGTTCTGCCACTCATAGGCTGTGTGAGTACTCTGAGCCTGCAGTGCTGGTGTGTTTTCAGTAAGATAATGTTTGCAAAGCCCCTGAGTCACTGAGGTCCCTCAGTAAATAGTTATGTTACTGCCACCATTTTCATCTTTATAAAGTGAACACTCAAGAGTAGTGCTTACATCTTGGGCAAGGTATCATTTTAGGATGGTTAGTAGTACTGTTTCATACCCATTTTAGGCGGCAGTGAAAAATGGCTGAAGACTCCACAAGGCGTGTAATGCCCAGGATCCCGTGGCACGAGCTAAGGCGCTACACTCAGTAGCACAGATGACCTATCTTGTGCTGGCCTTCTGTCCTTCATGGCCACCAGCCCAGGAGGAGCCACAATGGGGAGTGCCTGGTTTCTTCAACTTCCAGTCACAAGCTAGTCCTCATTGAGGGAAGTGTTTTGGGGTCTTAAAAATGAACTGTCCCTGGTCTCATGATGTTCTCCCCTGGAAACACATTTTGCTTCTGGTTGCCCTGAACCTTGCACAGGAAGGAGGACACAGAGTCATGGGCAGAGCATGGACATGGAGTGGTGCATGCAGCGGGATACAAGAAGCAGGGAGGTCAGGGTACTCTAAACAGAGGTGGAGAAATGCCCTCTGTGCCCATCCTTGGGAGGAAAAATTCCCTAGACCCACAGAGAACACCAAACAGCTACTTCCCTCTTCACCCTGGAGCTTTACCTGAATGCTGCAATTCCTGAACAGGGAGTATCCATCAAAACCAGGCACCCAGGAGATCAGAATGCTGTGTGCAGTACTGTTACGGACGCTGACTTCAGTTGGTGGGGAGGGAATTGCTGCATAAAACCAAACACACACACACACACACACACACAAACACAGTTATAGATCATGAGAGGCTATAGCTACCAAACAAATGCATTAATACCTGTTTTTGTTCCTTGAGATCAGTAAATGGAAACATGTTTTCAAGAGGAGCCTCCCTACGCCTGAGGGTAATTGTATTAGCCAGCACTAAGTCTTCCAGTGAAGGGCCGAAGAAGTGGAATACAGACCCACTTTCCTGTTCACTAACGAAGTAAGGAGACCTTTGATCTGGAAGAGGATGTGGAAATACTCATGTCCTTTACTGAGTAGGTGTTCATGGACCCTGCTGTGTGCATCTGGCTGGGTACTAGTGCACTAAACAGAGACAGAGTCATAGTGCTGCCCTCCTGGAGCACATGGCCTGGTATGGGAGACCCATGTTAACCGAGAGCAAAAGCACCCTGTGACCAGAAGAGAGCGGTGCCACAGGAGTGTGTGTGTGTGTGTGCACACGTGCATGCGTGTGAAGGTGTGTGTATGTGCATGTGTAGGAGGAGAAGCTTTCCAAGCCCAGGAAACACTAGGAATTGATTTAAGCAAATGAGCCAACTGCATCTGCTGGGGGAAGGGGGTGTGGCCTCCAATAGGTGTTCTATGACCCCAGCTGCAGGTGCATCAAGGGTAGCTATTTCAATTAGAATCCAAGAAGGATCTTAAATTTGGGGAATCTTATTTCTTTGTGCTGAATTGAATTTGTAATAATAATTACACTTAGGCCGGGCGCGGTGGCTCAAGCCTGTAATCCCAGCACTTTGGGAGGCCGAGGCGGGTGGATCACGAGGTCAAGAGATCGAGACCATCCTGGTCAACATGGTGAAACCCCGTCTCTACTAAAAATACAAAAAATTAGCTGGGCATGGTGGCACGTGCCTGTAATCCCAGCTACTCAGGAGGCTGAGGCAGGAGAATTGCCTGAACCCAGGAGGCGGAGGTTGCGGTGAGCCGAGATCGCGCCATTGCACTCCAGCCTGGGTAACATGAGTGAAACTCCGTCTCAAAAAAAAAAAAAAAAAAAAATTACACTTATAATAAAAAATGAAGGCTAACATTTTGTGTGCTTACTATGTGCCAGACACTTTGAGGGCTTTCTTTGCTCATTCCTGGAATCCTGTTAGAGAAGTAGTCTTACAATCCCCATTTACAGTTAAGGAAACAGGATCAGGGAAGTTAAAAACTTATCAAAGGTCACAGAGAGGTTGTAAGCAGTACAATGGGGACTTGAACTCTGGTCTGCCTGACACTGGCACTTATGTCCCTCAACAGAACACTGGAGGCCTACTGCCAAGGACAGCAAGCAGATGGTGGGAACACCAGCAGGGACTATGAGTCTGGTCTACCACCTGACCTGGTATATGGTCCTGGGCACAATTACATGCCCTGTCTACAACTACATAAGTTTCTCTCCTCTATAAATGGGGATAGTAACAGCCCTGCTCCATGGAGCTGCAGAGAGGAATAAACACGGTGAGCCATGGATGAGGCCCAGGGAGGCTGTGGTAAGAGTAAAGGTGATGATGGAATGAGCAGGAGAGAAGGAGGAAGGTGTGTTAAGACCATCAAGCGTGCCTTGGGTGCCACATTTAGGAGTTTGGGTTTTGCTAGTAGACACGCAGCTTGGGGAGTAGGGAAGAATTAGCATAGCATTTGACTCACTTCCCTCAGCAGATTATTTGTGGAATTGTCCTACAGTATCTGCCTTTCCAGACCAAAATTTGACCACATATACCATAGTAATTACACATTAGAGGAAGGGAGACTTGGTTTTTTTGATATAAATTTTACAATAAATGAAAGCCAAAAACAGAAGTTTTGGGAATGATCTAATAGAATAAAATCTTAGCTAAAATTCTGAGGGAAGCATACAATTGAAGAAGTGCTTTTCATTTTATACATTTTTAAATTTTAACAAGTTTATACTTTATGAAGATGTCTTTACAAACTCACACCCACTCACAAATTTTTGACATTCCCAACATGTCTTTTGGAAATTGTAATAATGAGATTTCTGATGAAGGAAGGAAGTTATACACTTCCTCCAGTAATAACTTTTAGTTTGCTTATTTTTTTATCCCAGTGAACTTTTAGAATATGCCCTTTCATAGCCTTTGTCCCGCTGATTTGCTGAAACTAAAATTAGCACCTTTTTTGAGTAGAACTTCTTTTGTAATTTTGAATCTCCTTCTGTATGTACTCAACCTTTTTTTATTAAAGAAGCTCTGCTTTTTCCTTGCACTGTTTTCCTAAGGATAAGATGGAAGGAACATGAGCCCAATAATTACTTCTCAGTATTTAAATTAAGATCAAACAGTAAAACATAAAATTTGTTTGAATTTCTATGACACATTAAGGAGGATGATTTAAGAAGAGATAAAAGCCTACTTGTAGGTTTTCCTTCTCTTTCAAATTTCAAGTTTAATACCTTTGATCACACAGAAGGAGGATAAGGTAGATTGGATTGAAATGTCTCCACTAGCCTAGGGGCCTTCAAATGTGTGCCTTTAATTCTGTTATTATAACTCACTGCCAAGCAAGCTCAGCCTAGTGAAATTTTAGCTCAGAGGAAGCAAGAGGAAGAGGGAGTTAGGAGGAAGAGGGATAGGAACACTGGGCTCCAAAGAAGAGTGATCTGATCCCTGCTTTTCCTCTGTCTCCCTGAGTCAGTTGGTGGCAGAGACTCATGTCAGGCCCCCACTGACCTGGGAAGGACAGGGTCCATTTCCTTGATCATGCCCCAAGCCAGCCTCATCCCCAGGGCTCTTTGAGGGTTAAGGAGTAGTTTGGGTGGAAGAGGTAAAGTGAAAATAAGAACCAATATGATCAAAAGAAAACATTTTTAGCTTATTTTCTTCTTGGACTGAGCAGAACTAAACAAGTAAATGTTTATCAAGGACCTATATGCCAGGTACTTCTGAGTACTTTTACTTGTATTAAATCAATAAGTCTCAACAATAGGTAGATTCTGTCATTATCTCCACTTTTCAGAGGGGAACACTGAAACCAAGAGTTGACCAAGGTCACAAAGAACATCAGTGAGAAAGCCAGGACCCACACCCTGGCAGCTGGCTGCAAGCTCACGCAGCACCCTCACCAGCTCCCAGAACATGCATGGGGAACCTGGCCTTGCTGCTTACCTTTGATGTTGATCTGCACTCCCTTGGACACAGTCAGTCCTTTGTCATTGTGGGCCTCACAACTGAAGACCGCCATCTCCGTCAGGCCTGGAATGGAAGGAGACTCATGACACCAGCAGCAGAGAAACAGGCTGCTATTTACCACAATTCTATGGTTGTCTTCACATTATTTTATTTCTTGGTTCATTGTTTTTGGCCATTAGTGCAAAGTTAATTTAAAAGGTATGCCTAGCTATGGAGAAACAAACCTGGGATTGAACCCAAGGCACCAACAGCAAGGTAGCCATGGGCTCAAAAAGCCGATGTTTTCATTTATTCAGATCCTGAATGGTGAGACATTAGGTAATAAAGCAGGATCATTTAGACTTCTACTGCAAATTGCTGGCCCCAATAGCAAGGAAGGTGGATTCTGAGGCTTACCCCATCCTGCTGCCTAGCCACCCAGTACATACAGTGCCATATGCTATGCATATTTCAGAATACTAAAAATAGCAAATAAAAGCCACAGTTTAAAAATTTCAGATGATTTGTTGTAATTAATTATTTTTAATAGTAAAAACTGGTCAATTCACACGGATGTATTATATAAATGCAAGGGATTATAACTAATCAAAGAGAAGACACTAGCGCTAAATGAAAAATGCTAACATTTCAGAGGTTTGAAGACATCTTTAAAAAACTGATTTATTAATTTCAAATAGAAAGAAAAAGAAGTTACCCAGATCTTGGTTTCTAATGCCATTCTCCAACAAAAGGAACCAGGGTTCCTTGGAGAAATGGCTGATTCTCAGATTGCTGCAGGAAATATATGAGACTGGAGTAAAATATAAAACAAACACAACATGTAACAAATACACACATATACACACAGAAAGACAACAATGGGTCATGTCAAAGAGACACAGAAGCTAATTCAAGGAGTTCCCAATGGCCAAAACTGGAACAATTTGAGCAAGAAAATAAAGTAGCTTTGGATTATAACCCAAAGAAGAAAATAAATACCCAGGAGTCTCTACCGATATCAATAAATACTTAGATAAGTTGGATAGAATAGACAAATCTTCTCGCAGGATATTCTGCCCTCAAAGAGGTGGAGCATAACTTCCCACTTTTTAAGCATGGGCTGCACAGAGTGACGCCTTCCAACAAGTACGTCATGAAAAGAGCAAAAAAAAGAAAACTGAGCGGAGAAACTGACAGACTACCTGAGCCACATGATCAAGTGATACATCATGTTGATAGAATGTACCCTTGATAACAGGTGATGAAAATGTCACTTCACCTCTGTGGTTTTCCTCCTCAGAACAACAACAACAACAACAAAAACCCAGGCTAATCATGAAAAAAACTACCAGTCAGTTCCAAATTGCGGGACATTCTACAAAACACCCGACCAGTAAGACCTAAAACCTGTCAAGGTCATTAAAAACAAGGAAAGTTTGAGCAATCGTCACAACCAAGAGGAGCGTAATGAGACATAGATTACTAAATGCATTATGGTGTCCTGGATGAGATCCTGGGACAGAAAAAGTAAGGAGGTAAAAAGCTATGGAAATATGACTGAAGTCCGGACCTTAGTTAATGACGATGTATCCGTATTGGTTCATCAATTGTAGCAAATGTACCACACTAATGCAAGGTGCTGATGACAGGGAAAAGGAGGGATGGGGTTTACAGGAATTTGCTTTACTATCTCCAGTGTTTTTCTATAAGTCTAAAACAACCCTAAAATTTGATTTTTTTTTTTTTTTTTTTTTTTTTTTGCTTTTTAACTTTTTTTTTTTTTTTTTTTTTTTTTGAGACTGAGTCTCACTCTGTCCCCCAGGCTGGAGTGCAGTGGTACAATCCCAGCTCACTGCAACCTCCACCTCCAGGGTTCAAGTGATTCTCCTGCCTCAGCCTCCTGAGTAGCTGGGATTACAGGCAAGCACCACCACGCCCAGTTAACTTTGTATTTTTAGTAGTGACAGGTTTCACCGTGTTGTCCAGGCTAGTCTTGAACTCCTGACCTCAGGTGATCTGCCCGCCTCGGACTCCCAAAGTGCTGGGATTACAGGCATGAGCAACTCCGCCTGGCCTGAATGGTTATTTTTTAAAAGTACAACTATACAGTATATATCATTTAGTTGAATCTGAAAACTTCTATATCTGTGGCACACAAAAACATCATCTGGCACACAGTAGTATCTTCATAAAATTGTTGAAAATACGCCACCATTTGCTTCTTAGCAGAAAAACTTATTTTGTTTTCTTCTGTCTACATGTTTAGGAAATTTTCCACCTGATCTTTTTAAGCTCCAAGCTTGTCACTAATGGAGTAATAAAAAATTTGAAGAATGAAAGGGAAAAAACACTGCCGAGGGAAGCACAGCAGGCATCAGCCAGAAAGGCTGTTCCTGGTCGGATGCCTGCATGGCCACAACTGTGCCAGGGCTATAGCCAAGTGGCCACTATGTGGCAGAGGGCTGTGTCTGGGAGAAGCTGTAGAAAAAATGCACATCTGATCCCTTATACATTAGTACTTCTTCTGAAAGGTTAAATGTGTGTAAAAAAGAAAATCAGTGCTGGTAATTTTCCATCTAGTAAAAGGTTGTCACCAGTGTCTGCATTTTCCTGACTAGACATGGGTCCCTCAGGGAAAAACAAACCCATGCATCTCTGTCCTATGATTCGGTAGTGATCTTTCATTTCTTCAAAAATAACATTGTATTTTACAGAGAATTTGACAGATACGTCACAGGATCTTAATTTTCCAAGAAGAGGAATACTACACTCAGACTGGAGGAAAACCCTAAGCTAGATTGCTTAGTTAAATTCTCTTGAAAATTTAAAGTGCTAAGAAACAAAAACTCCTGGTAAAAGCCATCTCTTTTCATATTTTTATCACTTCCTCTCAAGTGAGACATGAAATTGCTGCTAGTTTGTATAGTGACTTAGACAATATTTATTATACTGAGGAGGAATATTTCTTACACCCATTACACCCACATCTATAAAAGGATCCCTGTGATACTCCGCCTTGGGGTCTTTATATCTTCTGCTTATATTCCTCCTAGAGAATTTTGAAAAATACATGTGGCCTCTGACACATTTTGAAGTTTGCATCCTTAAAGTTTTCATAATTTAAATAGCTTCAAAGAATGTAATTTGAGGTACCTTGAATATCTTGACACCAACACCCACTGAAACAACTCTTCCCCAGCAGCAAGAAGTTTTCCATCATGACCCTTCTACTCCTCCCAAGAATTTCATCCTAATGGTACACATCTGAAAGTTTTTGCTTAAGCAAATCATGGGAACTTATTGGCAATTAAAATATACCTTGAAATTGCAAAAATGTTTTCTTCTGAATTGATTATACTCATTAGACAGGTAAGAGAGTTCTTTTTTCTTTAGTAATGCAAGGAAGAGATGAAAGGAAAACAGGAGGTGGAAAGGGAGAACTGGAGTGGTATCTGGACTTTGGGCACTTTGTCAAGCATTGATTTTAAGAAAGAAGATACGTACAGGATGAGGATCAAGACACTGATCGCTCCAAGGGATCCGTGCTCTGCTGATCACTGTTTCATGGTGAAGCCTCTGACACTTTGATTTTCATGCCTTGGCATCCCTTTGAACCTTCCAGATCCTAAGCTTCCAAGTGAGATGCCCATTTCACCTACCAGGCTGCATGAACTTGCAAAAACTGGCTTATATTTAGAAAAATTGGCTTTGGTTCAATCAGAAGATACAGGGAGTTACTTACTTTTTTTTTTTTTATATATTGGAGGAGACATTTGCAGGTTAAAATTAGTGATTTGACTTCAATTGTTCTTATCAAAACTCTTAGGAAACCCTTGAATACAAACTACAAAATCACATTCTAAACGTGTCATGAGGGGAAGAGCTAGCCGTATGATAAAACAGGAGGTTTATTTCACTGAGATCCATTAGCAAGTTACAGATCCTATCGTAGGATCCCATAGTAGCACAATTCAGGCTCACTGGTCTTCAGTCCTATTAGGCTTATCAGTGCTGAAAGGAAACCATTATCACAGAACATGACTTCAGGTCAAACGGACAGTCATTTCTCCTGTGTGTTTCTTTTCATAGTGCACACAAGGTCAAAAACGCAACCTATAGCAAATGTCCTAGCACAAGACACTCACACCAATTCAGAATTGCCCGGCAGTAGCTAAACAATGTATCAATACAGTTTACAAGGTCAGGTGGTTTGCGCCCATAGGCCAGATAGATGCCAGCAGAGAGAAAGAGGAAACTGGTTCAAACCACAGGTAACTTTTCCCAAAACTAGATAGCACTCAGGGCAAAATATAGTCTTCTTTGCTTAATTTTTTCAGCTAAACTTTCATGGCTTCCCAACTAGACACTCGTTTATAAGCCTGGATTGACCACAGCAATGAGTGTACACTGGGAGAAGACAGCTCCCTCTCACTTGCCAGTTCTCCCTCTGTGGATGAACAATAACCACCAGCCTGGAATAGACCCTGACATTTTATAGTCCCAAACCCTGTGGCTTTCCAGGGAGAAAAAGCATCCACTTCCCTACGTCTCCACCCTCCCACCCACTCTGTCCTGAATGGCCCCGGGGAACTGGAGCTCCCACAGACTCCTGAGACAACTCCTCTTCTAGTGGGTAGGTCGTCCCCCTTACAGCAATTTCTCCTTTTCACCCAACTCTATTATGATGGTGCACACCCCTCTTGCTTGGTCCTCTACTGGTTTGAGAAAAGATATTTATAACACAGCTCTGAAAGATATTTTTAAGGAACATTCAGTAACAGGATGTTCCCTTGAGGGAGGGACAATCGGAATTGCTGAGGGAGCAACTCCCAAGAGCACAGCTGAGCCAGTTCTTTGAGTTCTGGATTAAGCAATCATGCAAATTAACCAGATAAACAATTCTGTCCCTTCTTTTTCTTTTTTCCCTAGTGTCCATCTTTCTACCAAAGGAAGCAACCAATGGAAGATCATGCTGCGTAGCTAGCTTCTTAACTTGGAACTCTCTATCTACTCTGCATTCATCCATGTGACAAATGTTTACTGAGTATTTACTACAAGCCAGACATTTTTTCCAGAAACTTGGG